TTTGGGAGAAAGATGGGACTTTCTATTCCCGTAAAGAGTTACATTCTAACCCACAGGGACGGTTCTACCCTGGTCTGTAGGGTCACCAACAGTCAGCACTGACTCGATGGCAGTGAGTTGGGGTTCTGGTTTGTCCACCAAACTTCAGCCACCTCCCATCCCTTAGCCCAGCCTGGCTCAATCCCACACTCTGTAAAGTCCTGTAACCCCTATGTGGGGCCTCTCTGGACATTGGATCTATGTCGTTGGGAGGAGGGTGGCAGTGGACGGCAGCTCTGCCCTGGACCCATTATGGGGTCAGGGTGGCCCCAGGCCCAGCTTTCTGCATGGCAATGCCCCTACATCTCAAAGCAGTCCAGAGGCAGAGGATGGAGGTGTGATCTTCTGGTTAGGGGCAGGGATTGTGACTTGCCAGAGACCCAGAGGCCCCACAGCTGGGAAGTAGGGGATGGAGCTGGGATGGGACCCGGGGAGGGTCTGGCTCTGCCAGCACTCTCCTTCCCCTAAACCACAGCTGCTCATCGGAAGGCGATGGAAGGGCAGGGAGGCCAGCGTCATCGCTGTGCACCTCCCCCCGAGGAGTTTGCTGGACAGCTTCCCCTTTCTCAACGGTGACATGAACCCAGAGAGAAGGAAGGGCCTCCTTGAGAGTCACCACTGAGATACGTGATTGAGCCCAGGCCGGACTCAGCTCCTCTCACCGTCCCCCCTTCAGAGACCCTCACCTACCTTTCGGTGCCTCTGATTGGTGGTGATCCTGCAGGCCTCCTGGGGGGCAGGACAAGGTGAGGGGTGTCAGTGCTCGGCTTCTCCTCCAGGCTGGACCCCACACCTCTATCTGTTTGAATTGTCCCTCCACTCATCTGGCCCTGGCCCCAGAGCCCCCCGGTGTCTGCAGTGAACAAGCTCATGTCAGCCCCTCTCCCAGTCCCCTGGACACAAGCCATGCTGGATGCAGGATGGAACATTCCATCAGCTTAGAGGGTGCATGGTGGTCCCTCATGGGGATGAGCCCTCTGGTACTAAACATCTGGATTGGATCTCTGGAATGGAAGCTACAGGACTGGAGAAACAGGCATAATGAGAATTGGAAGGCCTCTGGCCTTTCCTCTTAGTGAGCTTGGACCCTCTTCAGCATCCTGCCTCCCCCCAGGGACATAGCTGGGTCTCAGGGTTGAGGACAGAAGAGAAGGCAAGGGTGGGCAGTGCCCTTTCTTCTATCCCTACGAAGGGTGGGTCCTCTCTGAATGAGTCTCCTTGAGAATTCCCTTTCCTTCATGCCTGGCCAGAGGTCCCCTGGGGCAGAGCCCTGAGGTGGCCCTCAGGCCACAGAGGGGAGGGGCTAAGGAGTCACTTACCTGAGACTACTAGCTCCAGAGGGTCACTTGGCTGGGACAACAGGTACTTCCTGAATGACGTGTAGCACCTGTAGGTGCCCCCATGGGCTGAGGTCACATGGCTCATGGTGAAGTTGGCCTGGAAGGGCCCCGTCTGGCTCTCAGAATGAATGAGCTGAGGAGGGTGATTGATGTCCTCCCTGAACCAATAGACTGTGTCAAACCAGCCACTTGATCGACACTGCAGGGACACGTTCTGTCCTGGGGCCACCGAGGGGCCCGGGTGGGCTGAGAGGGAGGGCTTGTCCTCGGAAGCTCCTGGGAGAGAAGGAGGCCATC